GTGGGGGAGTGTGCTGCAGGCTCTGGGCATCATTATACCAACCATGCTGGCTTTCCATGCTCCCGCTCTGCTTGCCTCCTTCTGCACATTGATGCTGCGTCCTGTGTCACTGCACGTGTTGTGTATTTAATGTTAACAGATTGCCACATAAACAGTCTGACTTTGCCAGCAAATGGTGATCCAGGGCTTAAAACAAAAAATCCCAGAGGCCTTGCACTGTGCTTTCATGAGGCGTGATTTATTTAGTAACTGTGTATTTTGGCTTTCTGCTCGTTATGTCCAGCAATCAAGCTCTATGGGGCTGCTTTACATCACACATGCCATGTTATGGAAAGCCCAGCACCAGGGTATTAGTCATGAATCACCAGGGTTTGGGGAGAGGAAAAAATAAAATTCTTCCCTTTTTATATTTTTGTACTTAATAATGGCCGGAGTGATTAGTACTGCAATTTTATCTTAGGAGCACCAACTTTATGTTCTGCTATTTTGCTGAATCAGACATTTAGTTCCTCTCAGTATACAAGTGATTAGCTTCTCTAACAAAAGGCAGGGGGTTAATCAACCCTTTACCTAAGATCTCTTTTCTTCAAAATGTGAAATAGGAATTAGCATAAAAATAGAGTCTTAAATCAGCTATGCTCAAACAGCATTGAAATAATAGTTTGGGTTTTTTTTCAGTTTTTCCTCCTGTGGCTTTGCAAATCTGTGTGTGGACACATTCATTTCTATATATAAGGCAACCAGCTTTGGTTTAGTCAATTTATGACCTTCTGTGGTTAAATTAAAGCTGGGGACACATTCTAGTACAAACATGTCCATGCACAGAAAAAAAGGAAAGGAAGGAAAAGGGAAAAGGGAGAGAGAAAAAAGAAAGAAGAGGGAGAGGGAAGAGAAGCAGCAGGTTTGTTTTCTCAGTGCAAGAATACTTTTCTATATCGCAACAAGAGGAGGCCTGAGGTTAAAAGGCACAAATGTGGACTTGAAAGGAAGGAAGGTGGGCAAGTAGAAATCAGGAACAGATCATTAAGTGATATACGTGAAATAATGCACCCCTTCATTGTCCCCGAGTTTCAGCCCTGTGCTATCTCCTGGAACAGACCAGCCCGTACCTCCACACAGACATGCTGTTTGAATTATTCCCCTCCACATCCAAAATACCAGCTCTCCCAACAAAGGGTATTTCTTGCACACTCCAGATTACACATGCTAAATACTTTATTGTACTAGATACAACCTCTAAACATTTACAGTAAGTGCACTTAATAGCAAAATTGTTTGCCAAACCTCATTGGCCCTCTCCATACTTGTGAGTTATAAACATGGTTTTGTTTAAACAGAAAAACAAATTAACAGATTCCTGAGTCTCCCACATACACTTCTGGTTATCAAAAATTCATCACAGGCAAGTAGCATTTCATGGAGGCTCTTGTTAAAATGCTGGCAGCTTATCAGCGGGTTGGATTTCCATATACCACAGAAGACAGCAGCATAGTTTAATATCCTTGTTTGTTTGTTTATTTTATATCAACCTCTTTGTTTCTCCTTGATAGATGTAGAAAACTGGAGCTGGGTGAATAACTTCTGGAAAATCCTCTAAGAGAAGAAAATGGGAGAATGAAAAACTTTTTCTTGAGGAGGCATGGCTGGACAGGTATGAGAGTTATACTCTTTAACCTATCTGTCTATTGGAAGTGGCCTTCCAATCAAAAGGTAAAGCCTGGGCAATTCAGCTGAACTAATGAGATTGCAATGAGAGGCTTTGCAAGCCTCTCCAGTCAGACATGAGTGTATAGCACAGATGGACAGCTAATGGCAAGAACTGATTGGAAAGGACAGGATAGGAAGACTTGTAATTCCAAACTGCTCAACAGTAAAACCCTTAAGAGAATGAGAAAGGAAAAGCCTGTATATTTGGATTACATTACTTCTGCAGCAGGTGGAGAAGAGCCAGTCTCCTAAGGCTGACCTCTGCCAGCTCCATCCCATTTCATGGTCAGAAGGGACCCAAAGGAACGACAGGTACAATGTGGACAGGGTCATGACTCAGTGTGGGGTGGGGACAGTGCACTAGAGAAATGCCTTTGCCAGATCTGCTTTGCATAACCTTGATTCACAATGATTGAAAGACAGGCTATGGGTGTTTGCATTAAAGGCTCTCTGGTGGTGTTCTTATTAACCCTGCCTGGGGAGAACAATCTGCTGGGTGGGCTTTTATCTCTTTCACAGAAAAAGCAGCATGTTTTTAGTCCAGGGACACCTACTGCAGTAGAGAACAGACAGAGCTAGTGGTGGCAGTGTCACAGAGAGGAACCCCCCCCCCGGCTTTACAGTAGCAAAGCCTGGTATCTGGTAGCATACTTCTGGGGCAACACAGAGGTCAGTAGAAGCTATAAAATCTACTTCAGAAGCAGAGCCCACTTGAGTTTCCCATAACAGACTGGGACCCAGACTGGCCATGGCCAACCCCCACCGGGCCACCACAGAGGTACAGACCAAAAGACATACTCCTTGGAATGACCTGAAAAGTTTCATCTCAGTGCAATGCCATACTGAGAAATTTATGCTGATATTGAAAGGTTACTTTGGAGGGGAAGCAGAACTAAGATACTGCACATAAAAAAATATGTCCTTTCCTCTTTGATACCCATTACACAGGCTTAGTTTGCACCACAAAAATAGTATGACTGCCCTTTCTTCTCCACCAAGTGGCATACAAGCAACCTTCACTGCTAGCTTGTTCAAGCTGTGCCACAGCTGTGACTAGTTGGGAAAGGCAGAGTTAAAAAAAACCCCAAAAACAGTGGTGGATCTTAAAGCAATTATTTAAGAAAATCCCCTTACTGGTGCACTACAGACAAACAGGTGTGTTTTGTTTTAGGAATCACTGAAAAAGCTCTAGATTGGTCTGCTCTGTTTCCTTTGTCAGCTATCTGCCCAGCATCCAGGTTAGCAGCCAGCCTGAAGCTACCAAGGGATCTCGGAGAACATGGAGCAAAAAAAGGGGTTGACAAGAAATGAAATGTGTGTCAAACACAGAACATATTTTCAACTTTTCACGTAAGTGCTATGATTGACAGGTCTGTGGACCAATGGGTCTCCCAGCCTTTCTAAATGTCATAGCAACAGGGAGTTAAAATTCTACTTAATAATCCTTCATTCAAAGGAGATCTTTCCAATGAGTTTTCAGACTTGTGATGCCACTGAAAAAACAAAGTAGGAAAAATATTTTCTTTGACCTGCAAATGATTTCATCAACCATACTCCTTTTAATACACAACTCCCCACTACTACAATTGCTGAAACAAACACCACTACATTTGAACTTCAAGAGGATTTACTTGGACCAGAGGCAGCCAGCAACAGAAGAATTTTAATGACTGTGGGAGGATCGTTGGTATTTTAAGAAGCCTTCTAAAACCTTTTGAAGGATTTGAGATAAGTAAAAATAAGTGGAGCAATTTTTTTTCCCTAAGTACTTTGCACCATGTTTTCACATAGCAGAAGTGAGTTCTACAACTGCACAGTGAAGCTGGACAGAGAAACAAAAGTTAAAAAAAAATCTGAGATGAAACCAAGCGGCATGGGAACCACTCTGAAGAAGAGAGCAAATGAATCCTTCTATTCCAAGCTCTGGTTTTTATTCTCTTTGCTCACAGCAGATTTAATTTCATTAGCTTGCAATGTAACACTCCATCCACAGATCAGATTTCTTAAGGATATAGGGAGATCATATCAACAAAACAAAGCACTAATTAAATTTTTAAACAGCATCCACATGCTTAGTGATTTTTGTCTAGTGGAATCACCAAGCCAATGTCTGAATCCTGCTGCCATTGATCTAAAGCACTGCTCTTCATCTATTAGAAGAAAAAGGCACCTGCTGCCAGAAGTGCTCCTGGATTAATCCACCCCACAACTGAAAATTAACTGCTATTAGAATTCAAAAGGTCCAGCTTCTTGAATTGTTGAGTGCCTCCTTGGAGAAGGGCTGAAAGATGTACCTGGGTAGTAACTACCACCTGTTGCAGCTACAATGAGAAAAGCAAAGCCTCCTTGGGCAGCTGCCTTCACAAGGGGCCTCTGGGCTCACCCATGTGTCATGAATGATTGCACCCCTGGTTTAAAATTATTCACTTATGGCTTCTCCAAAACAACCACACTTTCAGCACTGTAAACCAAGATGACTGATTTGTTGCTATTTCTTAACACCATCCTCCCACCCTATCCAGGAGAGATTCAATAAAGAGCATGGAAACAGCAGTAAAAAGGACATTTGAAAAGGGAAAAAGTGCTCTCCCTGGATCCAGGGAAGAAAGCAACTCAGCACTCTTGAGAAAAGGAAATTGTTTTTCAGTCAGATGTCCCCTGTCTTTGGAGGCACTGACTCTGTTTCTTCTGATTACCTGCAATACTTCAAACATCATGCAGGCACTAAGAAAAATTAATGGTGGCTTAGCAAGCAGATGCTTTTAAATGAAAAAGTTCACACAGCCTGTTTTTCTCCCTCTCAGTACAGTTATGTAGATAAAAACCAAATCATCATTTACTTGCTCTCAAACATGGTCAGAAGAAAGAACTGTTTTGTCCAAAGCAAGTGCAACATTCAATACCTTGGTCAACTGGCAGATAATGTGTCTATCCCCTCTGCCCACTCCATCTTCCACTGTGTCCACACAAATTTGGCTTGACATTACAGGTGTATTTCAGTTTATGGAAAGCAGTGGCAAAACTCTCACTTTATTCAGTGGAGACAGGTTTTTCTCACTTGCTGGTCTTCCCTCCCTCAGCAAGGAACTGCCTTTTCCAAGCAATTTTATGCTTGGAAGCATAAAATCCAAGCCTCTCTTCCATGCAAGAGATGCTAAAACCTCTGCTCTTTGCTGGGCTGACCCTTTCCCCTCCATTTCTTACCTGCCCAAATGGGAGAATATTGTGCCTGTGTTACATTCCAGTATGGTACATTGAAGGATACAGCTCTGATTATTATTATTATTTTTTTGGTTATAGAGGCAAATTACAATGAGGACAATGGCCTCAGGAATTTACTGTTGATATATTTTACACTGTTAGGAGAACACACAGTTTCCCAGAGAAAGGTCCCAAGTTTTTGATCAGCAAGATCCCATTTTTGCTCACATTTACCCCTGTCCAGGAGTTTTGATTAATGTCACTGATTCTTGGTAACTGAGATTCACAAGAGTGGCATTTATCATCAAAACAGCCATATATGAAAAAAATCCATCTGTTAGCTTAGCTATTCATAACAATGTGCACGTGTGGCTATTATATGTAGCATGGTCCACTCATTTGCAATAGACAACTACCTATGTTGTCCTGACTTTACAAAATAAATTCTACCTTGGTTCTTAGTAGCCCACTGCTTTTGAAATAACTGATACATCATTTAAAAGATACCCCACAAATATTTCTTAGTCCAAAAATGCAGAAGGTGTTTTGTTTTCCATGACAAGAAAGGTTCCATAAAAATGTATACATTTTTTTCACATTAAATATCCCTCTGCTTTTCGCCCTGAACAAGAAAAGCATTCCAACACAATACTTATTTTTTAAAATCTACCAACCTGACTTTAGCCCTTTAAGAGCCTTAGGGATGTATCCTACTTTAAGAACTTGTCCATGAAAAGCTTGGGACCCCTCACATGTTACACATTTCATACAGCACTTCAAAGAAGAACGTTAAATACCTTGTGACTAGAGTACTGTTTATTTCATAATCTAAACAAACACTGGAATACAGTCTATGCTTTTCTACTTTCCTGCAGACTTTACAACGAGCTTCTTTTTTTTTTCTTTTCATAATTAAAACAATCTGCATACACACAGAACATGCATGCTCTCTAACACCAGTAATGAAGGTAAGAAGAGTCAGTTTCCATCATCTTCCTGTTGCTTGTATTAGAAAAAAATACTTTTGTTTGTACTGTAGTTACGGCAGTGTGGCTAAGGATACGAAGACTAGGCACAATTTTACTCCCTGCACAGAAAATGTTCATCACAAGCATGCTGATGGTGATAAATATTACATGTCTATTAAATGATAGGCATACTTTTATCCCCTTTACTCCCTTTTTAAAAAGACTAAGTGGCTACATGTAAATGCAGTGAAGCAGGTATAAGCTTAATTAATCAGAGTTGATTCAGACTGGCACCAAGACGCAGCGAAGTCCGACAAAGTCTCAGCGAGGCTCTCCATGGGCTATCGGTGACCTCTGCCACAAAGCATCTGCCTCCTACTTTCTGAAAGTAGAAATCAAAGGCCTTGCAGCATGGCCAGTCTCCTGGATGGAGCAGACTGTGCCAGTGTGTTGGGCTCCCTGGAAAAGAAGCACTTGTAGTCCATTAGTGTTTGAGAAAACCTTGTGAGTGGGTTACCTTCCCCAGGGCTGTGCGCCCACCCCGCTCTGTGACACAGCCTGCTTCTCTTCATCGGCCTCGCAGCTGGTTGCGGTTTTACACCACTGAGTGGTCGTTGCTGTGGACGCCAGCCAAGATGGTGTGGTTGAGCGAGGATGCTGACCGGTCCGAGCCTTCGGTGGGGCCATTGGCGCTCTCGCTGCGCTGGCAGCAGAGGATCTGCTTGAAGGTTGCGCTCATCTCCTTGTCCCGGTAGGAGTAGATGATGGGGTTCATGGCGGAGTTGAACTCTGCCAGGAGCAGGAAGAATTTTTCATAGGCCAGGACATTGCACTGGGGACAGCAAACATCGAGGAGCAGCAAGACTAATCCTGGGGTCCAGCAGATTATGAAAGCACCTAGGAAGAGAACAAGAGGACAAAACACAACAAAACTCATAAATTCACTAATGCACCATTACTCATCAAAATACTGTGAGAATCATACAACTGGAAATGGCAACGGTTAATTTTCTCTCTCAAGAATATCTTTCCCACACTATTTCTTCACTGACCTGATGAGAGGGATGCCTTTCAAAGATCTGTAAATGGTTATGGGCAGCACATCAAAAGAGCAAGTCATTTCCCCCCCCCCCAATCTGAAACTCTGATTGGCAAATACATTTGCATTTAAACTTGATAATGAGGAACATTTTTTTCCCTTCAGCTAGAGACCTCTGACTAATCAATCTCTTGATCAGGAGAAACAATGCTGCAATTTACTTCTCAAACTAATAACAACAAAGGAAACCTTTCTGTAAGTGCTGTGACTGAAGCATCAGTAATAGAAAAAAAAAGTGGTGCAGGCAGCAATTCTCAAGAAAAAGAAAGCCTGGGTCTTGTTAATCCATTTCAGACCCATTATGTAATGGAAAGTCCTAAACACACATCCTTCTTGCACTGAAATGCCGTCCTTCAACAGATCTACTTCTTTTCTTAGGGCTCCATTCAATAGAAATTCAGAGGCTCCTCGGGCTTCAATAGTGTAAATGCCAAAGAGCCTTACCCTGATTAAAATGCTTCCCCCTCCTTTCTCTGCTTTACAAAGCTCTAAGGGGAACAAAGCCCAGAACAAAATTCAGAGTTCAGTGCAGAAATGAAATCAAATGCCATGCACTTTATTGGGAGTACTGAGTTAAATGAAGATGCTAGCTCCTTGAAAGGTTAAAGAGGTTTTAAATACAAGCACCACTGGAGAAGCCCTTACACACCAATCATGTCACAACGAAGATGGTGCTCCTGAGATTTTCCAGGCTGAAATGCTTGACTGAGGTGGAAACCAAGGTCTTATCATCAGTGGGCAGGCTTAGTGCAGGCAGCAGCAGTAAGGGCTTCCCAGTACTATCCGGTGAGTGCTGTTCTCCTGTCACTGTGGTATTTATTTGCTAACATACTGCCCCTGTTTTTTCTGCAGAGATGCTCTCTGCAGGTCTAGCAGCTGACTACAGTCAGTTTCCACAGCATGCAGACATTTTGCTGCGCCTGCCAAGAAAGTGCCTGCTATTTCCAGCTTGGGCAGTGGCGGCTGTAAACCATGCAGACACCTTTCTGTTTGGATACCAAACCCACCTAGATCAAACAGAAGAACATTTTCCAAAGGGTTTTGCAAACATGCAGGGTGTGCCAGGCCACAGACACTGGTTGCCAACCAGGCAACCACACACAGGCTTCCTACATACTAAAAAGCATCCCTAAACTGAGCTTGCTTGCAATGTATGGTGCCACTCAATGCCTATCACTTTGCCAACCAACAAAGCTCACAACAGTACAGAAGCCGGGGGGCAAACTGCCAGCTGTCAGTGCAAAGCACCGATGTCTTTCGCCAAATGACTTTGTTAGGGGCTGGCAGCAATTTTACAGCATAGGAATGAAACTCTCCCACGCTGAGGTGGCATCAAACACATGAATCCACTTCATAGCTTTTGTCTGCTGCTCTTTTGGATTCCAGCGGTCCTAGAAAGGAGTACTTGAAACCCATGCAAAGGACTAAAGTCTTTTATCCCTTCCTTGTACCTTGTTCCCAGAAGAGTAGAAAACTGCATCTATTTGCAGGATTGTCAGCATTAATACAGAGACTGCACTCTGCATGGAGCAGCTCTGCTGAGCTGGTTTGTGCAGAAACCAAGATAATCTTTCAAATTCAACCACTCACTGCTGAAACTGTGCGTATTGTGTTCAACCTCCTAGCTAGTGAGGCAGTGGTAGACTTTGTTCCAGCTTGAGCATGTATTTTCTTCATTACAGGCTGCCTTGGGAGAACAACATCAGAGACGGGAACACTGCAAGTCATGGGATCTACAGTCAAGGACAAAAGATGATGACAGCCTCCTCATCAGGCCTGTAGCAGAAAAGTCCAATATGGGAACAATGAAGCTGACAGGAAAGTTCTCCTGGAGTTGTTCAAAGTTGCAATTGAAAGCTTCCAATTTTCCAACTTTTTTTTTTTTTTTTTTTTTTTTTTTTTTTTTTTGTGGGGGTTTTTAAATTTTATTTTATTTTTTTCCCCAGTTCTGTTGTTTAGAAACGAAATATGCCAAACAGAACATTCTGCTGCTATCATTTTTGGGTATGTTAAAAGCAGCAATAACAAGAAGCAGTATGGTGGGGGAGGTAGGTAATTTGCCTCTGAGAAAGCCCCAAAATGTTTGACAGAAGTCCACATGCAGCTCACTGCACTGAACAGTGGTCTTAAGTGGAATTTCTGAGCCTCTCTCTGCTCCCCAGTATCCCAGATAGGTCCAATAACCTATACACTGAGGCTTGACATGGTTGCAGTCAAGAAAAAGTGGACTGTAGTTGAGCAAGCAACTAAATGCACTGTGCAGTTCATGCCACACTGAAAAAGGATAAAAACAAAGGGTCGTCTTCCCACCCAGCTCTGGAAGAGAATGGAAGTCATTAGTCTGCAATGTCACCCTGCTGCTCATGCCAGGCCTGGAGCTGGGTCAGTGATGCACTGGCAGCCAGAGTGTCGGAAGATGAAATCCATGTTGCCCAGCTCCAGACCCGTTCGGGTAATGCAGGCTTTCTGCTGCCCTGTCCTGCAGCCACAGAGCAGGCCGACCTTCCAACCTGGTTCCTCTGCAGGCAGCAGTGGTGGCAAAGGAGCACGCAGCATCCAGGACCGCACCTTTGCACAAACGAGGCTAGCTTCGAGCTTCTGAACAGACAGCTCATTTGTTACTGGGAAGTAAATGCTGTTGAAGCCAGCCCCATTCAGTCTAGGGTTTTGTTTTACTTTAGCCCCTGGGATTTTCCTAGTAAAACTTCCCACCATGCTAATAGCTCCTGCAGCTAATTAAGTTAAGTGCTTGCAAATGGTGACACAAACAATGTCTCCGGTTTTCTCACTTGTTATTTAACTGTCAGTGCCCTGGAAAATACTGGAAAACATCGCTCATAGTAAGGGCATGTTTGAGTTAGGTACAATGCAAGAAACATAAAAATGTCAGGCTCCTATTACTTTAGATTTAGGAAATATAATCTATTAAACACTGAATTACTTCCCTGGAAGAAAAAAAAAAAAGCTTGAAGTTTATTTTTTCTACTTCTTAATTGGAATATTTGTCACAGTAAAGTGATAGTAAGCTAAAAGTGAGGTTAAATTCTTCCCTTTCCAGAAACTGTTGTGCATTGATTTCACCAAGAACGAAGACCTAAAAATATAATATCTAATAACACAATGTGAACCAAAATCTTCCTACTGCAATACACTGAAAAGCCTTAAGCATACACCAAAATCTTGATATATTTTTCTCCTCAGAAACACACCTGAGAGCAGCTCAAAGCACAGTGTAATTTCCAGGTGCATCTTAACATTTTACAAACCCAGTCAAACTCACATTATAATGACATATAAAGCAGATCTATTGCATTCAGTGAATCAAATATGTTCATCTTTGTGGTTACGTCATTGTCATGCCATGACACGGCAAGTCAGCATGCATGAATAAAATCGCAGATTGTTATGTCTTTGGGTGGCTGAAGAGCACTGTTGCCTGGACAGATAGAATCTTGGTGTGATACCTCCAACCCTGGAAGTTCCTTAGAGGCGCTGGCACTGCATGAAGCTGACCAAGCTGTTCAATTACAACTGGAGGAACGCCCGTGTGGTGCATGGCCAAGGTCTGTCCTGCAGGTCTGTCAAGAGAGGTCTGGGTGAGGAGGAAATGCCCATCAGGTTGAGGGGTGAATGGCTAGCCATGAGACAGGAAAGCCCAAGGGAACTGGGGAAATGGCACTGCATCTTTCAAAAAGATTTAAGGAGACAAGAGGGGAAGGGTCCCTATAAACTGAGAAGCATGTTTTACAGCAGGAAATCTGAGTTACAACAAAGCAGTCATGACACTATTCTCATTTGTTGTTGCTATGTGACACCTCTCACCCAGAGCTGAAACTCCAACTTCTGCATAGTCTGTCTTGGTCTGCTGTGGCAGAAGTCCTCTGGGGGCTTTCTAATGACCGTTATATGACTACATCACATCTGTCTTGAACCCTTTTCTCATGCACCAGTGCAGACTGTATTTTCATGGTAGTTGGATGCTTGAAAACTGCTGGATAAGCATGGCATGGCCTCAGAGCAAGATCTGATTGCAAGAGAGTAAAAATGGTTGTGGGCAATAGGCATGTCAACCATGATAAATCACACAAAAATGAGTGACTGAAAAAACAAAAGAGAAAACAACTCCAAAAAGCCAGCAGCAGAAAAGAAATAAGCTACATGAGAATAAACACTGATGAACTAGTCACTCATTACAAGAATACTAGACTGGACGGCTATTCATGGAACTTCTCAGGTTAGCAGGTGAAGCATTTTCTAAGAAGTACTTTTATTTTTTTTCTTTTGCCTTGGACAGTGTAAGTCTGCATTTATTCCATGAACATTTATTTTCCTCTAACTCACAACAGCAAAGTAAAAGAACTTCTGCTCCTGCCAAGTCACACACTGCAGTCCCTTGGAGGCTTCAGTCGGATGTGGCTCTTGTCAATGCACACCTATTCTGAAACACCCCTGTTCTCCTGCTTAACCATATTGTATCCCTTTCATATGCCTTCTTCCACCCATTTTAGTTTCCACCGTAACTTTTCTGATCTCTGGCATGGATGGGCTCACACCCACCCTGCAAATTCCTCACACTGAGAAGTCAATATGGAAGGAAAAAATATAGAAAAAGGGCCTCTTTTAGGGAGTGTGAGGAGAGAATGAGGAAAAAAGATCTCACTTGTGCTTGCAGTTCTGTTAAGATTACAGAAACAGGATAAGGCACTACCCTATCAAAGACAGAAAAGACCCACTCCAGCTGAACTTCTGGGACATTTATGTTCTGCCACTGTTGCCCACCTCCCCTTGTCCATCCACT